AGCAAAATAACAATTCAATTTGCTACTGATAATTAATAATTAAATCGTTGGATTTTTTTTTAATTACTGCAGATGAAAGAGATTGAAGTGAACGAAAGGGAATTTATTAATTAAGACAATTACAACTTTTAATATTTTTTGTTTAATTACTGAAATTTTAATTGAGAGTTAATTAACTTTTTATTAATTACTAGGATTGTTTAATCATTTATTTTTATTCTGATTGGAAAATAATTGAAACTGTTTCACAACTTAATTGATTTGATTGCCGATTTTGTGTGAGCCGCATAATTAATTTTTTTCGCACTAATTTATCAGTGATGTTTGCGTTATAAGTAACACAAAGTATAGTAAAAAATTTTTATACATTGAATAAGTTCATATAAAAATTTTTTTGAGAAAATAAAAATATATTTATATTTTAAATGCAAACTTATGATACCTTAATTGGATATGCATACCTGACTCCGTCGTCTCGACTGATGCATATGATACTCTAATATATACACACATATTTATTTATAAAAAAAAACATAAGCTCCTCAGTAGGCTAATTAGTGCTACAATTTGAAAAGTTTCTTTACATAAAATATTTAAAACAACATACAAAATAATAATAATAATAATAATAATAATAATAATAATAATAATAATAATAATAGTTTATTTAGCCCTTGCCTATTATCAGTCTTTTTACATAAAAAAATTTACATCTATTATTTTACAATAATAGACAGAAGTTTAAATAATCACAATAACTTTCCATTGTTTTTCAGAACGGCGATGTAAACATTTTATAATAAATCGGTCTTGTTACTTTAAAAAGTTTGTTTTTGCCTGAGGTCACCTCATTAGATCGCCGCCGCGTCGCTCCACGGTAATTAGAAGTTTTACTTCCTTTTTTTTCTTCGCCACGTTGTCATTTCTTTTCATGTACATTCGTTACTCTTTTTCCCTCTTTCCCAGTACCTCTAAGTCCCAGTCTGGGACTACGTTTAGCTCCGTAATGATGTTGCTGGTTAGATATATATAATAGTCATAAGTATATCTAAAGCTCTTGTTACGGAGATTTATAATAGGATAATCATTTTTTTTTATAATTAATACAATTATTTTCTGATTAATTCATAAAAATTATATTGTCACAAAAATTTTTCTAATAAAAGTTTTAGATAGTTTTAAACTTTAATATTTTATTAATTCTTTGATTTTTTTTTTAATCTTTTTTAACTTAAGAAAAGTCTTTTCAATTATATTTGTTTTTTTTTTTTTTATTTTTTTTATTTATTTCTATATAAGATACAAGGCGTTGGTTTAAACCAATGTAACCAAAATTATATTTGTGACGTAAGTATTCTACTGCTGCCATCTTTTAGCACTTCGAAGAAACATAATCGATAGTCAAATAAAACATTTATAAATTTGTTCAAATTTCGTAAGCTGTTAGTAAAATTATAGTATGTTAAATAATTAAACAAATTAAAAAAAAATTATTTTTCACAATTTTTGAAAAGTAACAACATAATTTTTTGGTAATAAAAATAAAAATAGTAAAATAAGAGTAAAACTAAATAAAAGAAAGAATTAAGACTCTGAAGCAATACAGAGAGCAAAGAAGTATCGAAGAGATGTGAAAGATGATGTGAGAGAGTGGGTAAAAGCGAGAGAAAGAACTGAGGGATGAAAGTGTGTAGAGGGTGAAACGCGAAAGGAGGTTTGGAGAAAGGGTGGAGTTTGCTAATTACGCGCGCTCTCTCTAATGAATAAGCTCTAATGAACCACTTTCTGTTAATTAAAGGCCGCCTCTATTCCTCCCCACTTGACGTCGACCACCCTTTCCAAGCTCCCTTTCTCTCATTTCAGCGGCCCCGCAACCCCGTTCACTCTCTTACCCTCTCAACCCCTTCCGTCTGACCGCATCCACCATCCAAAGGAGAAGGCTTAACGAAAAGAGCTTCAATGTGTACGCCGGGAATCGCTATGGTACCGGTTATATTCAGCTTAATGTGTGTAAGTGTTTTTGTGCTTACGTACCTTCAATGAGTATGAGCCATGTGTGTGTTTAAATATTTCGGTGTGTGAATGTGTGTGGAAACTCAACACGCGTGCTTCGAAAAGCTGTTGCAAGTAAATATGAGTGCATGTGTAATTATTTATGGAGGCAACTAGACCTCAGTATATATGCGTTTCTATTTATTCTTTTTTCTTTCTTTTGATAGTATTATATACAGAAAGAGTGAGTAATTGAAATAACTGGATAGTGAATTTAGAGAAAAATAAATCAAGTTGAAGATTAAGTACGGTACTTATTTTTTTTATTGTAATAAAAAGATTCGGTGATTCTTTATTTTTTTATACTTATTATTAGTTATTATTATTAGTTAAAAACTGTCACTAGAACTATAAATCCCGAATAATTTGAATCTATACTAATATATAAATCTATAGAGTTTTTTACGGTTGTTCCGTTAAAACTATTAAACTATACATCCGATTGAGTTGAAATTTCGCATCCATGTAGAGGATACATTGACTTAATGGATAGGCTAACTTTTTTATCCATGTTGAATCTCCGAAGTGTATAGCGGGGGCGTTTATGATTAGAAAAATCATAAAAAACTAAATTTTGAATTTTAACTTTTTTAGACATGAAATTTAAAGAGAATTTTTTTGGGCTATGTTGAGAACAAACAAACATATATTAAATGAAGTTTGAATCCCAAAATCGGTTACAGGGGCGCTAATGAAAAAAAATGAAAATTTTAAACTAAAGTTCCCACAGACTTATAATTTAATAAAAATTTCGTATTTGTTGAATAAAGGTTTTGTACTATCAGATTTCGAAAAATTTTAGCCCCAGAGGAGATTGTGGGGGTGTTAAAAATTTGTAAAATTTTTGTCTTTCTTCTGTTATCTATATAAATGAAAATAGAATGCCACATGTATGTCCATGCATCACTCGAGTACGGCTGAACCGATTGGGCTAATTTATTTTTGTTGTCTTCAACATTGTCAGGAGAATGTTTGTATGTAAAAAAATTTCAAAAAAATCCTCCCCCATAGGGGATTGCGGGAGCGTTAACAATGAATAATTCCCGTTTTCAAACTATAGCTCCTATAGACCTCAAATTTGGTAGAAATCTCCTGTAAGAAATATAGAAATAATCTATAAACGAATTTTACGATAGCTCACTCCACAGGGGGTTGCAGGGGTGGATATTAACAATAAAAATTTGCAATTTTCAAATTATAGATTGATCCTACAGAAGGCAAATTTAGTTGAGTTTTCCATATGTGTTGCGGAAGTGATCTAAGAGCGGATTTTACTACAACCCACCCTCAATAAGGATTACGGGGGTGGATGTTAAAATGTTAAATTTCTGTTTCTAAACTGTAACTTCTACAGACTCCAAATTTGGTAGAAATCTTCGTGTATGATGTTAAGTTCAGCTAAGAATGGATTTTATCAAATTCTAGCCCCAAAAGGGATTGCGGGGGCGTTAGCAATGAAAACCTATCATTTCCAAACATCAGTTTCTATGGACTCGAAGTTTAGTAGGAATCTTTTATTTATAAAGTAGAAATCATCTCGAATCTTACGAAATTCCTCCCCCACATAAGAGTGCGGGGGTATTAATTGTCAAAAAATTCATATTTTTCAAATACAGTTTCTACAGATGAATCGTTGGGATTTTCATATGACTTATAGAGTTTCTCAAATCAACGATTCAGATATAAAATTTGAAAGAATCTCAAGAGAAACAGAAAATTAGAGGGTTGGCCTCCAAGGTCAACCGATTTAAATATCTTTTTTTTCTCAATGATTAGATTTCAACTAAAAACGAATTTTGTGATAATTGACTTCATATATAGGCTGTGCCAGAGTGGTGAGTCGAATGTAAAAAAATGTTTTCGTTTATTAACTATATAGGACTTCTTGAGACATGAAATTTAGGACATATCGATTAACTTCAATAACATTTCATAAAAATTTCCTTACAACAATCATTTCTTTGGCAGCGGGGAAAAAGTCATTGTAAGGTTTACAAAACTTAACATTACATGTAGTTATTCAGTCAACGGACTAAGAATTTTATATTTATGTTATTTTTGCTGATCACATAACCAATTAATTGTTTTTATTACGGGATTGCGGAAAAGTGACAAATTAAAATGAATGCATTTTTCAAACACTTGATATGTGAAATAGAAATTTAGCTACTTATTTTAATAGAATTCGCAAAGATCATGTACAATTAATTTTCTATACAAAATTTTATGTAAAAAAAATTGACGCCACGCAGAAAATTTTAATTAACAGTAAAATTCGTCGCACTTTAAGCTAGGCAGATTTTAACTTCACTTATGAGACCTGCAGCTATTTTGACTGAAACTTTCAATGCTCATTTCAAATTTTTTTCTTCGTGTCAATTATTATTTATTTTTGTAAGAAAGTCACGGGAATGTTATAATGATTGCTCATTGAAAGTTACATTGAATATTAGCTAGAATAATTACATGAATAAAAGGTACAGGCCAATTCGATGGAATTTGGAATCTCTGGAAGTCAAAACAATACTTTAATTAAATATCAAGTCTAGATCTAAAAATATAATTCTTTAAAGCACCCAGCGGAGCGGGTGGGTAACAGCTAGTTTATTATAAAATAATAATTGATGTTATTTATAACCCAAGTCGTAAACTTTAATACCTTCCTGAAAATAAATAAAGTTCTCAGTAAGACTGTAAAAAAATAAAATGTCAATTAACTAAGGTAATTAAATATATAAAAAATTGTAAAATAACTATTGACTTGGTTAGATCGAGTTTCTTCAAGTGTTATCATTTTTTGACGAAATAGAAATAAATTGTAGAAAAAAATAAAAATGTTTTCTTCGACCAAAACTGTTTCAGTCTTTGTAAAAAAATTTTTTCTGTCTACGAATAAAAATACCCTCACTCATATTTCTCAGACGAGATTAATTTGTAAAAATCCTATAATTGAAGTGCAGCAAGGACTGCTACGAGGAATCAAAGAAGATAATATCAATGGAAAAAGTTTTTTCGCATTTCGCGCTATTCCGTATGCGAAGCCACCAGTTGGAAAGTTACGATTCAAGGTTTGTATAGACAACATATTAATTTAAACTTTTGACACTGTAAAAATATAATTTAATGATTAGGATCCAGAACAAGTTGAACCGTGGTCTGGAATTAGAGATGCGATTAAATATGGCAATAAATGCGCGCAAGTCACTTGGATCAACAGTAAAATAAGTGGAAAGGAAGATTGTTTGTATCTCAATGTTTTTACAACGAAATTGAACCCAGAGGTACCGAGAGCTGTTATAGTTTGCATACACGGTGGAAATTTCGTTTGTGGATCTGGTGACGATGACATTTTTGGTCCAGATTATCTTGTGGAAAAAGACATCGTTGTAGTAACTCTCAATTATCGGATTGGAATTCTAGGTTGAATTGAATGTTTAATGTTGAACTTACTATGTTTAAAAAAAAAAAGTTAAAGAAATAGTCCTTAAAAATTATTAAGACTAGAAAATTTTGTATTCTTTAATTTTTTTTTCTGTAATGATAAATTTTGAAATTTTATTTTAATAACTGCGGATAAGTTAATTAAAACAATGGCTGCAGGTTTTCTGAACCTAGACAATGAGGAAGCATCTGGAAATCAAGGACTCAAAGACCAAGTAGAAGCTCTAAAGTGGCTGAAACAGAATATTTCAAAATTTGGTGGGGATCCAAATAATATCACACTTTGGGGCTTGAGTGCAGGGGGTGCATCCGCTCATTATTTAGCTCTTTCTCCACTTGCTCAAGGTTGTTAAAACATAATTAGTCATGTAAAATAGATCGAATCTCTAATAGTTTTTTTTTTTTTAATTAGGGTTATTTCATAAAGTCATCATGCAAAGTGGCGTCGCTATCAATCCGTGGGCTCGTGCGCCGGATGATATGAAGGTAAAAGCTGAAAAAGTATCAGCGAAACTTGGAGATAAGATCAATGATCCAAAAAAGTTGGTCGAGTTTCTTCGAAAGGTCGACCTCTATGAACTAATAAAAGCTCAGGAATCACTCTGTACATGGAAGGTATCCAAAATTTTGAGCAAAATCTGGAGATTTTCTGTTTTCAAGTTAATTTTTTTTTTCAGTTTATGATTTGATTTTTTGGTTAAATAAATTAAATGATTATTTTAGGACAGAATGTTTCTCATCAATCACTTCGGGCCGTCAGTAGATTCAAAATCGGAAAATCCATTTTTAAAAGTTCCAGTAGAAGAAGCAGCTAAGTCAGGCATCAAAGTACCGTGTATTATCGGCCATGTTGCTCATGAAGGAATGTATAATCTTTCCGGTACAGTTTTTTGATTAATTTATTGATGCAATGAGAGTGAGAAGATAAAGAAAAGTGTTTTTCCAGAAATTAAAGATGAAAATTATCGGGAAATAAATGATAACCAAGAAGAACTACTGATACATCCGCATTCAAAAAAAATTTTGGAAAAACTAAATATCACATACAAAGATCTAAAACAATTCTTCATGAATGATAAGGAAATTTCACCGCAAAATATCAAAGATTATTTGAATTTAATTACTGCTGCACACTTTGTGATTGATATTCAACGAGCTATTAAAATTCAGTCCCAAATTATGGAGATGCCGACTTATATGTATAAATTTGACTATTATTCTAAAAAGACATATATTATGCAGAAAATACTACGAATTGATATAGAAGGTAAACAGAGTTTAGTTAAGAAATTATCTATTTATCAAATTAAAAAATTTCGTTTCTAATGATTAGGAACATGTCATGTTGAAGACTTGCCTTATATATTTTATCCAAAGTGGTTCACAAAATGTGGACTTGAACCTTACGCGCCCGACTCTATTGAGTTTTTGAACCACCAACGATTCTTGGATCTATGGAGTAATTTTGTCAAAACTGGGTGCGTATTTCAAGCGAAATAAAAAATTTATTGATCAATCTAACATTGATTTTTTGACAGTGATCCAACTCCAACAATATCTAAAATTCTTCCTTTTAAATGGCAACCAATCGATAATTCAACTCAATTAAATTGTTTGAAAATCTCAAAGGAGTTTTACATGACCAAAGAGCCATTTATTCTTGATCAATTAGCGGAGAAAAATAAAGTTAACCTTCTTTGAATTAAGAGATTTATTTTCTGTGAAAGAAATTGATTATACTTACAGATGTATAATTAAATCTTATTTTAGACAGTTTCTTATCAGAAGAAAGCGACTGAATTGGAGTATATTAATTAAGGTGAAAGTGATTATAATTAATATTTATAAATATTTGAAACAAATAAAAAAATAAAAAAGTAAATGAATATAAATAGAATCCATTGAAAGAGTTTTATTGAAAGAACATTTTTAATAAACGTACATAAAAGTTTTTTTTAGTCTAAGTATCTTATTTATTTTATATCTACGGCTTTTATAGATATCTTCTATTGATGGTGTGTGTAATGCGCCGATAATTGACACGTATAAAATGAAGAAATGCCTTCTACCCATAAATTTAGTGATCTAACGAGGCATTTGCTATTCAAACAGAGTCTCATTTACTCATTCGCACTGAGCGATTATTTTTTGTAACCAATTTTACTGGTGCAACTTTATAATTGGCCGCGTTCTGCGCGGTCTCTGGAGCCATTCTACCGGAAAATACATTGCGAGTGGACGACGGGAACAGAGGAGCGGGAATGGAAAAACTTGAAGGAAAAGCGAGAAATTAAATGAGACGAGTAGTGGGGCTCGGGGTGAATATAATACATAATGGTTAAGTATATGTATACGTATAATATAAAAATAAAAAGTATAATAATAAAAAGAGAGTGATTCACAGCGCGGTAATTAACTTCGTTCATTAGCTGAAATTGTTTAACGCACCTCCGGCCACTAGCTCATTTATGCGTGATATTCGCCTCGAGTAAAATACCCCAAGCTCGCCACTTTTTACTTAGACTTTGACTTTCGCTTATATTAACAAGCTTCTCTTTCGCTAATTAATCCAACGGGCTTTTGTAAACTACTCGAAATTTTCTAATGGTTTTAATTTCATTATTATTATTATTATTATTATTATTATTATTATTAACTTGTTAAATAAAGTATTATATTACCAACTTTTTTACATATTGCTAATTATCGAATAATGGTCTGCTTTATTAAAATAATGTGCAAACTTTTATGACAGTTACATCTGGGTGATTAAATTATTCAATTCCATTGCAGTTTTTAGTTTCAATTACTTTTTGTTTCATTGAAATAAGTCATTACTTAATGAATCGAATTTTCTTTCATGAATTCTGACATTTATCAAGAAATTTAACATCACACTACACTTTGAATTTAACAAAGGTAATGATAAGTAAGTACGTATTTATAAATATACAGAAAAAAAATTAACTTAGCTTTTTGATTTGAGCAGAAAAATTCTTAAACTAAGAAATTTTTCTTGGCACAAGAAAATTTCTTTTCATTCAATAATTTTTCGTCTTGATTCAATACTATGAAACTCTTCAAAATTATTTTCTTGGTACAAGAATTTTTGTTTTTTTTTTTCAAATTAATTTTTTTTTGTGTAAGAATATACTTTAAAAATTACAAAAACGTCTTTAATTAATAAGCAAAATCATAACAATATTTTAAGGGTGTTTTTTGAAAGAAAAAAAATAGTTGATTTTCTTGATACAGCCTAATGAGTAATGACATATCAGGCCTAATATGAATGTATCAAATTCTCTGATATGGCAATATAAAAAAATTTTTTCACAAATAACCTCATACATTCAGAGACACGGTAGTGCCTACACCTACAATAAAAATACATGACAGTGTGAAGTTAGTCAATAGAAGAAACTCGCAAAAAAATACGACCTGATTCCTTATTGGTTAAAATTAAGGCGCGCGTGTAGCACGCTATTGAAATTTCTAGTACAATAAAAGTTTCATTTCACATTTTTTGAATTGAAATTATTTCTTCAATTATAAAATATCCCAAACATTTGGTATTTTCTATGAAACAGTGATAATAACTTTATATTCTATTGAATCTTTTTTGCGGAAACACCACTACACTATTATACTACTAGGTACAGTAGCATTTAAAGCGGGTAATGTATTCCAGTATTGTTATTCGCAGTAGCACTCCCCCTCGCCACTCATTAGGGAATCCGTTTGGGAGTTTCTGTTTTTAAATGCTTTATATTTACAATTCAATTTGCTTTGTACTCGACTATAAATATATAAAACGGGAAACCCCCGCCTGAGCAGGCAGCAGCCGATGGTCAGCAATCGCCTCCGCGCCTTCTCCTATAAACTTCGTCACACAGCCACGTCTTTTTCTCGTTTACTGTTCACTTGTTTACTTCCACCCCAATCTCACTTGGCCACCGCCGACACTCCTACTCTCTTTCCCCCGAGCTTTCGACGAGCCAATTTAAATAGACAAACTCCGATGTTTAGTGTCTTTTATCAGCAAACGTTACATTTTTATTTATTATCAACTTTTTTCACTTTTTTCCTACCCCACAAATCGATAAATTTATTTTTGCAGTTTCGTGAATATTAATAAGCAATATTAAATTATTAATTAAAGATTTGTGCAAAAAATAGCTTTAATTATATATTATTACGTCTACTGTCAAATTAAAAATTTAATTCCATTAAAATAATTTGCTGTAAAGAAGGATTAAGTTTAAATGTAATGCTGGAAAAAATTCATCATTATTAAAATTTAATTTAAAGGTAGAAAATATTTATACTGTAATTTGCAATATTAAAAATTGAAAGTATTAATAATAAAATTATTCAGTTTATTTAAATACAATATTAATTAGAAGTACGGATCATAAAATTATTAATTTTTTAATGAAAATACCGTGCTGAAAATTAATTAATATCTAATGAAAGTATAAAATATTAATAAAATAATTGAGTTGAAAAAATAAATAATTAAACATTAATTAATAATTAATTTAAGTAAAAAAAAAGATAACTTGACATATGGACTAAATTAAATTTATATGGAGCATTAAAAAAGGAGTAAATTAAGTTATTTTAGTGGAAGATGGAGAAAAAAATGAGCGAACGAGGATGAGGGGCTGGGGGTGGATAAAAACAGTTCGGAGAGAAGCGCGATGAGGGGATGAGGGGCCAGGGAGAGATGGATCAAGTGAAGAGAGAAATGGAAGGGAGAGTGGTCCCCCCGTAATCCGCTGATGGACGCATTTACTGATTACCTAAAGCCCCCCTCGCGCCCCTTTAGAGCTTTTGCGTGTATTTCTTATACTATAGAGCCCACTGGCAGCTAGTGCTCTGAACTCCCAGGCATATCATGCTCGTAAATATCTCGAGAGCTTTTTTTGATTCCCTTATTTTCATGAATAAACGATAATTGAGAATAATATAAGCTGACTTTTGTTATTTCCAATCACAGCTACTCTTTTCCAATCATTTTTTAACCTCACTTTTACCTACACTGCAGACTACAGACTTCAGAATACACTACTTAGTATTTTTTTTTAACTTGCACTTGCATTTAAATGTAAATGTCTTTTTTGCCGAGAAACTTCTCTGAAAGATGTTGCGGAGATTAATGAACCGTAACGGATTATTTATTACACCGATTAGCGCTCAATACTCGGCACTCGGTTCTCCTCTCGATGTACTGGTCTTCGCGGTTTCCTGTTTATTAATTTAATACAGTCGACATGATACTTCTCCCAACAGATAGCTCATCAGACTTACAATCATTTTACACGGACGATAAAATTTAAGTACTTTGGATCAACAACTGCGTAATAAGACTAATCTCTTTTATTTGGCAAGATCGAATTAATTTTTTATTGGAATTTTTTGAAATTGAGATCAAAAAAATAAATCAACTTTTTTTTTATTTTTAGAAAGTTAATAACTTTAAAAAAATTATTCGAGTTAAAATATTAAAGTTGCGTAAACTTTATAAACTTGCATAGGATATACTATTACCTAATAATGAAAATCTTCTTAATTAACAATAGTTAATCACTTAAGATTATTAATCTGAGTTTAATAAGCCACCAGTAAGTTTCTCGAACAAAAATTAAATCTCAGCAGTACAAAATTTATTATAGTAATAATATTTTGTGAATTTTTAATAAATTTTGTATAAGAAAATTTTTTCTTAAAGAAAAATTAAAAAAATTTCTTTCAATAGAATCGTCACTTTCTTGCATGAGCTCAGATTGACTAATGGAAAAAATTTTTACTAAATATTGGAATGAAATTTCCAAAAAGTTCGGAATACTCTTGTATAATTCGAACATTTATCAAAATTAGAACAAATAAAATAGTAATGAGATAAATTCTAAGATAATTACATTATGTAAGACAAGTACTATATGTGTGTAGCAGATGTAAAGTAGAATTGGAAGGACTGGTAACACAGCCAAAAGAGGAACCTTGAGGGTTATGTTGTCGACAGCGAGTTAAATTCCGTCTTGGAGTCTTAATGAGATTTTATTCGGAAGATAATTAGTGCATCTCATGGTTCTATTTCTCAGAAGGTTCTCTCTTTTCTGAGACGCTCTTGCTCGCATCCCTTTGCACTCGATGGCTGGTTCGCAACCGGCCCTCCGTCTCGTCTCGCTTGCATCCCTTCATGTAATTACAACTACAATTATCATGTCCTCAGCTCTCCCTTTCCCTTTCGCGGCTCGTTCCCAACAACCGTTGAGTCTGAACGATTCACACGCAAGCCCTCTATGTCTACCCTGTGCTGCGCTGGCAACAACGCCAAACTCCTGCTTTCCAATTCTGTTATGCTGTACAGTATTACACCACACACTCGCATCTCACTCTCATCGCGCTTCTCGTCTCCAATATACTCATATAAGTACACACTTAATTTTTAATTAATTTTATTATTGTTTACTCCAGAATATTCATTACCGACGCATCTGTAAATAATTAAATTCCATAACTTTAATTAACTCAATAATTTCCCTATTCCCTATTTAATAACCTACTTCATTCTCTTTATTTTATAATTATTAATTACTAATGCAAAAAGAGCATAGCACAAATCATGCTCTACATAATTAAAAAGGCGTACTATAACTCATTAATTAAATTTCTGCTTTATCAAAATTTATTCCTAT